CTGCCTCTAGCCTCTCCCGACTGCAATGTGAGATTCCACAATTATACACACTTAAACCATGGCTTCTATCCTTCACCTCACTCAAAAAGCTTCAACAATACTGCACTGTCTTCAGAATAAAGACTGACATTTGAGCTCCATGACACTGTGACCAGTTCTTTGTTCCAATTCAAACTGGATTACATACCATTCTCCAAACATGTGCTGAGATCTCCACCATTTCCCATTATTTTACTGTTGTTTATGCCATTCCCTCTGCCTGAAATGCCTTCTCCTTCTTACTTACTTCTGCTTATCAGGTAGAATTCTCTATTTTTGGGTTCAGCTCAAATGACACTTCCTTCATAAAGGCATCCCTGATCTCCTACACTGACATGATTAATTCCTCTTTTGACTCCCAAAATTATTTTTATTCCACTTTATATGAATTTAACATATTATTCCCTTTTATGATTATTTACATATGTCTCCTGTGTACATACATATATAAATGGTTGTCAATACATTACATAGTTCACAAGGCTTGGACATGTTCCATAATAGAAAGAAACATGAACTACTTCAATTCAGAAATATAAATCAGTAAGACCAAGACAGTTACACAGTAGGGGCTTTTGGCAGGAGCTCCCTAATGCAAGAAAGTGAGAGAAGAGAAATCTGCTGAAGATAAGGCTTAATTATTGTTTCATTTACCTTTATTGCCTTTGGGAAAAGCACCCAAACTTACTCTTTGGTAAAGATGATGGATTGAACACAGGTACCTATTTAATCTTCTTCCTGAAGTCATACTAAACCAACAGTAAAAGTGGAACTGTAGACGGAAGCACACTTGAGAATCTCAAGCTAGCAAAGGGAAAAGCTAAGACTTATATGACGGAATTCCCCAAAGGCCCAAGAATTGGCAGCACCCTGGGATGTGGGGGTAGAAGGAGAAGTTAAAATAACATTTTCCTCCCCTCCAAGAGGATGAAGGTCTTCGTACTCATGCACAAACTTCGCACAGACCAAAATGCATAGCTCTCAGGAATACTGACTTTTTTGCACCTAAAAAACCTCATAAGTGTAGCTGAATGCCAATGAGTCTACATGTATCACTGTCTTCTGATAATCATTCATCACTGTCTAGGCTAAGTAACCATTTCACCTGGACCTAAGCACTATAAATGGACACTGCAGAGAAGCATGACAGAGAACAATGACTTTTAGAGCTCTGGGCTACTTTCCCGTTTGCTATTAACCTGGAAAGCTGGAAAGCTGTCCACTGTTTCTCTGAGCCATAGTACACCCAGAAAGTTCAGTGGTCAAGGAGTTAAACACTAAGAAAAATAAGTGACTGTGCTACATGAAACAGGAAATATTACTATCAGTTATGCTGGCAGTGATTTTGGAAGACTTTTTCCATATTTGAAATAATTTAAGTAACAGATGAGTACCTAGTTGGATAAAACTGTGATCAAACCATCTGGGCCTAGTACCTTTTTGCAGGGATGGGTTGTTTACACTATGGATCTATTTAAAGCTTTCTATTTCTACCAGTTTTTGTCATATCTGAAGACGCAAATGGCATGTCTGGTGGGAAAATTCTCCACTGTGAAGGGACTGTCCTACACAGTGCAAGATGCTTAGCATTCCTGGTCACCGGGAGAACTTCTGTATAAAGATAGCAAATGGCCTGTAGCATATACTACACTTTCACATTGTAATCACCTCTAGCAACTATGAGTAGCAAAGGGGTGAGAAGAACCTGAGCATTTTATTTTTACTTTTGTATTGTTTAAAAATTTTTTCCCAGTGAGCTAATAATTTCTGTAATTCATTCACGTAATTAAAAAAACCTCCCTTCCCACCCCTCACAATGTAGTTTCCTGAATTACATACTAAGGCGGGCTAAAAGCTTTGGTAGTTCCATTAATATGGCCTTTTGAAAACTGATGAATTAATTCATAAAAGCTGCCTAAAATAATGACATTAGTGGAAAGGCAGAAAAGATTTAATGTGTATTAACTCACTGCCTCACGTTTACCAACCCTAACAGGCAATTCCTTTCAGGCTACTGAGAAACTGGCAGAGCCCGTTTTCATATTTAATGTCTCAGCTCCTTTGTCTGAAAGCTCTTTGAGTGATCCAAACAGATAGCCTGGAGGCAGACAAACCCTACATGCTGTGGTTCAATTAAATCTGCTTCCCACACAACCTACTATTAACAGCCCAATATTGCAAAGATGGAAGAAATGAAAGCAAAGGACTAAGATGTGAGGTCTGAAGTTCTCTGTGGCAGTTCCTTCCTTAACCTGGAGATCTCTTGACCTGAGGACTGAAAATTCCTATCATGGGCATGTGGCAGCCAAGGAAATCAGTGCCTTCAATGAAGTCTGTCTGACTTTCCCTTCCTTCCTTCCAAAGGTCGAGCCAGGTATCTTGTGGTGGTTCTGGATTAAGCCTCTGAAAAGACAGAAGAACTGGAATCTCCCTCTTCCATGATGCTAAAGATTCCTTCCTCACTAAGAACCATTTTCAAACAGAGCATTAAGTTAATTGCTAGTTCTCTAAGGGTTAATTTCAGTGTGATTTATTATTAAACAACTAGAGAAGACATCAGTGCTCTACTCCACTCTGTCTAAATATTTTAATTAAACATCAGCCAACATGCTTGGAAGATTCAATATAGTTGAGGTATCAATTTTCCCCAAATTGTTATATGTATTCAATACAATACCAATAAAAATCCCAGCAGGACTTTCTGTAGAACTCAACAAGCTGATTCTAAATTTTTGTATGCTAACATAAAGGAACCAGAATATCTACAATTCTTAAAAAGAATAAAAAGTGGAAAAGGCAATTCCATGGAGAAAGGACAATCTTTTCAACAATAAAATTGGACACCTATATGCAAGAAAAAAAAGAATATATACCTCCATCTATACCTCACACCATCTACAAAAATTAACTATAATGGATTATATACTCAAATGTATACCTAATGCTATAAAATTTCCAGAAGAAAATACAGGAAAAAAAATATTTATGACCTTAGCCACTTAAAAAAAAAGGATAAATTGAACTTCATCAAAATTAAGAACATCTGCTCTTGAAAAGACACTATTAAGGAAAAAGACAAATCACAAACTAGGAGAAAGTCATATATCTGATAAAGAACTTATATCCAAAATATATAAAGAACTCTCGTAACTTGGTAAGAAAACAAACAACCCCATTTTTTAAAATGAGCAAGAGATTCGAACACACACTTCATTAGACACAGGATGGCAAATAATCACACTAATAGATGCTCAACATCATTAGTCCTTGGGGAAATGTGAATTAAATCCAAAGTGAAACATCACTACAAACCTATTAGAATGACTAAAATTTTAAAAACTTGACAATATCAAGTTCTGAGGAGGATACATAGCAATAATTATACTAACGAGACTGCAAAACAGTCTAACCATTCTGGAAAATGGTTTAGCAGTTTCTTAATTTAAGCATAGTCTATTTACCTAGAATCCAGCAATTGCATTCCTAGTGCTTACCCAAGAGAAATGAAATGTATGTTGACACAAATGTTTATAGTAGCTTTATTTGTAACTGACAAAAACTGTAAATAATCCAAATGTCCCTCACCTAGAGAATGGATAGTGTGGTATATCCACACAATGAAATATTACTCAGCAATGAAAAGGAACAAATTACTGATATATGCAAAAACATGGATGACTCTCAAATGAATTATGCTAAGTGAAAGGGGCCAGACTCAAAAGGGTAGATACTACATGATTCCACTTATATAACATTCTGAAAAAGGCATAATTACTGAGACAGACATAAAAGCAGCGGTTGCCAGGCAGTATTAGAAGGGAGGGAAACAGGGCTGAAGAGAATGCAAAGGACACATGAGAATTTTTTGGTGTGATGATCCTTTCCGTACCTTGATTGTGGTGGCAGTTATTACTACTGTATTTGTCAAACAGGACTATACACAAAAGGACTAATTTTTATTGTATCTAAATTACAACTTCTTAAAAGCTCCAAAAGGAAGTCACAAAAAAACAAAACAAAACAAAAAGTACTATGAAAATTACCACAAGGTTTCTGCATGCTGGAATAGAAACCTTTTAAATAGAACTATTAAAATCATGCCTATAATGTCATATACACACATGCACATTCTCTTTGCTGCCCCTTCTACTCTAACAGGCCTCGCTAAGAGTGCTTTAAGAGAAACTATCACATCCCCCATTCTTACCTGGACCACAGACTGTCTTAGGATTGAAAGGAGACACTAAGAATACTCCATGAAGAACCTAGTACCCACAGGCTGCAGAGCTGGGAGAGGCCGCAGGAGTGCCCTCAAACTGCAGGGGGAACAGCACTGCCCCTTCTTGCTCTTCCTTGAAACAGAGGTTGTCACAAACTCCTCAGCATTGCACACTCACCTCTGCTGTGACTGTATTTGGATCGCCTGACTGGATCTCAGTCCTGCAGCACTTACTCCCTCACCAGGGAAACCGAATTTTGCAGAGGCAATGAAAGTAGGCCAAGACGACAGAGCACTCTAGTTATGGGGTGGCAGCCAATCACCGGCCCCTCCCCAGGAGTGTCTTGCTCTGAGGTCAGGACTTAAAGCAGATTCTGTGCCGTCAGCCTGAACCCAAAGGGACTGACTTGCTGGGCTTGTTTTTCCATAGCATTAACTGGAGGGTTTACTATTTGAGACCCCAAATCAATCTCTGCACAATGCTGGCTGTCTCTCCTTCCACAGTTCTCACCTAGTCTGACCTAACCTTCTCCCTGCCTCACTGCGGAAAGTGGGCAAGCCAACTCCAGCGCAGCGTAGGGCACTGAAAATGAAAGGCTGTAACACACTCACCACCCCCAACGGCCATGGGACCCAACTTCCCCACCCCAAGGAACATCATAACCTCCTTCCACCCAGGATCACAAACTTTAAAAATCCTTTTGGAGTTCTTTCTGCTGGAGAAGGGTGTGGGGTGACATACCTTTAGTTTTTCTGTCCACTGACACCAGCCTCTTTGTTTCTGCTGTCAACAATAGCTCATAAGGATGCTCACCCTCCTCCCCGGCTCCACTCTCCTGGATCCAGGGTCTCATGGACAAGACCTAAGAAAGAAAAACACTATAGTACTTCTTGTGCAGTGGCTAATATCAAGACAGGATATGTTGAACAAACTCAAGATTATTGGCTCCTTATTGGAAGCGGGGAAAGGAAGAGAAAGTAAATAACTCAAGTGTCACATGGAATCACAACTGCTTTTCTGGATATGCATGCACCTGTACCTCAAATCGCAAAGGCCTTTGATTAAAACACTCCCTTGCCTTACATCATTTTATCCTTCAAAAAACCACAAATAAAATCCAAGATCCTCCTTCCTCTTGCCTCTTCCATCTCCACAGTGTTCTGCACAATCCCTTTCTGTAGATAACATCCCCCACTCCCCAAGTCATGGTGCCTCATAAAAGCCTTCTTTTTCTACATTTCTTTCCTAACATGCACACATACCAACCCAAGGCTGGGATCCTTGCCTCCTTCTCAAGAGGGAATCAAAATTACTTGACTGACCCTGAATGACTGACATTTACTAGAAACAAATGTCTGCAAGTCCTCTATTTTTGTGAGCTTTTCTTCACAGGTCCTAGGGGTTATAGGGAAGAATTTCCCCAAAAGCCAACTTACTACCATATATGTGGTAACACAACTTTAAATTAATTCCACCAATCTGTTCTGAAAAGAGTCAAGTGGCTAGGCAGGATGAATTTAAATAGAAAAAAAGCAGCTCTGCCTACAAAGAAATCCCTAATCCCATCAGCCAAGTGTCTTTGATGAAATAACCAGACAAGAACTGGCTCCTCAACTTGCCCCACTGGCTTTAGTCAGCAGAGGGCCTGGTGGCCACAGCTCTGGTACCAGAGTAGCCAAGCTATTCCTTGAACAAGCCAGAAACACCATGATTAGTACTACATGCACACTAAGAGAGAGAATGGAGTTCTCTCTTGTGTTAGGGAGAAATTCTTTGTTAGAAGAAATTCTGCCTCATCTGTCCTAGAATCCAATGTTTCACAGGCAAATTAGAATAATCATACATATACCACCTATTATGAGAGCAAACCAAAGCATAAAATCTCTTCTTGAGCAGTTTGGCTAGGCCAGGTAATGTATTATGAACAAGTGGGTGAGAGAGAATTCCCAGGTCCAACTAACATGGTACTCTACCAATGTGATTCTTTGGCACACACAGAAACATCCCCCTTCACTGACACGTCCCACAGCCCCCTGGAAACAAATCAGGTTTGTGATTCATCAGGGTTTTACTTCTTGGAGACACAGCTCACTGCCTCATGTCCCAATGAGACAAGGATTCTAGCAGCTTCATACCAAATGAGAGACTGCAGCTCCTGTTTGTTAACAAGGCTGCCACTCCAAATGCAGAATGATAGCCTCTTTCCAAAATTCTGCTAAGCACAGCAGGGACCTCGACTGGAGGAGGAGTCCAAGCCACCTGGAAGCTAAAAGCTATTTCATTACAATGACCCATTTGCCTGTATTACTTATTTCTTTTACCTTTTCATAGGGACTCAATTAAAGGAACAAAGAGGGACCATTAAGCAGTTCATACAGTGTCAACTTAATACCAAAAGCTTTACAGACAGGAATCTGTGTTCTGCATGTTTACACACCCATAGTTATCACTTAGGCAGAGCCCTGGAAATCTGACCCTGGGAGTGTTCTGCACACAGCAAGAGATCTCATATAGCTCCAGGCATGCTTCTCTGAGTGGTATCTGACAGCCTGGATCACCTGCCTGCAATAGCCTTTTTTCTCAAGCAGGATAGGGTGATGATTTCCATCTGGAAAATCAGGCCCACTGGATCTGCATTCACTCTGTGCCTGAGTCTTGTGCACAACTGGAAGCAGAGAACCAGCAAATGTAAGAGCTGCAAGAGACTCAAACCATTATAGACACAGCAAGAGTGCACCTGGTTCCACCTCTTTCATTTTACAGATGACAAAACCCAGATCCCAGACAGGTCTAGGGACTTGCCCAAGTTCCACAGAGAGCTCCCAGTGGGGCAGGGCCATAAAATTCACCTCCCCTGACTCTGGACAAAGATGGCCTCATTTTTCCTTTGAAGTATGATTTCTCCATCCAATCTGGAATCCTCTTCCCCCTTGTGATGTCTAATGAGAGTTCCCTGTGCATACCGAGATAACTTGTAAGGTGATTTTCCCTCTTGGTCCTGGCCCTTGCCAACTATGGGATTAAAATCTCACAAAATAGTAACTAATTCCTTTTCTTTGAGCCTTCCCAGGTTCTATCAATAAGTCCTGTATCATAGTGAATGTGGCAATACCTGATTTTGCAGAAAGCATTCTACTCTTAACTAAATTGTTCCTTAATCTTTTTATCCCTTTCTTCCACGACTGACAATAAATCAAAGCCAAAAAACCCATACGCTCGGCTACATGGAAAACACCATTTTTGCTGCAGAGAAAAGCTACTACCATTCACCACCTGTGACCAATGGAATGGCCAGTCGTCATGTGAGCAGCTTTCTGGGAAGCGATATCATAGCAGCTGTAACTTCCCATGAATGTTTAGCATATCCAAGCACAGAGAAGATCATGGTCAGTCCAATGCAGCTGGCAGCCCATTTGGTAGGGCAAAAACATCTAATTGGCATGTGTGTATGTGTGCACATGCCTGTGTATATGTTTAATTTTTTTAAGCCAGTTACGTGATCTGGTTATTACTCTGATAAGCAACCCTGGTGCCTGGTAAATTTAGCTTCTCTTAAAGGCTTCTATGGGTCACCTGACAATGATAAGCCTCAGGCACAGGGCATGAACACTAGGGCAGACTGCCTGCCAATTACAAAAGTCTAAACTTTGCTGAAGCCAGTGCCTCATAGGATATGTGGTTTACAGGATTAAAGCTTTGAGAGTATAACAGATGGTGAAGAATAGAAGAAAAAAAATTCTGCTTTCAGATTACAGCAATCTGCCTTGATCATTAAAAGGATAATGACCCAGACCATATCACTTCTATATTCATGTACTTATAATCACCACTAAGTAAGCAAAGCCACAGTTCTCAAAATCTTCCAAAGACTGGTTATGCTGGTCCAAATGACCCAGAATTCCAGGCTGTTCAATAATAAGTTCTAGAAGATGTATCTCAGAGTCACCCATCCAGAAGAATAATGAGATTCCTCCTCCTACCTCTCAACACTGTGTTAATGCCAACTTAGCATGCTTTAGAAAGCCTTGGAAGAACAGAAAGTGCTTGTTATTCAGTATTTCTTTAGGAGCCTTGCCCTTATACCTAGGCATAAAGAATTTTTACTCAGGTAACGACTAAGTTAAAGATGTGCCATAAGGCATTTACAGAGACCCAGCCCCAACTGAATATGCTCCATTTACTAGGTTTCTCCTTGTAAAAGGGAAATAATGGAACAGACTTCTGTATAAAAATGTGTAGGGATTTACTACATGCACTTGTATCTGCTAGCAATGCATTATTACCCTAGAGGCTGTAATTCTAGAGACCCCTTAGTTGAGACATGATAATAAGCGTTTTGTAATTAAGAGATGTAAGGAAATAAAGACAGAATTTGCACCATACACCGAAATTGTCCCCTATCTCCAACACTATCTTTTTACATGCTTAAGAGGGCTTGCTTGTATTTATACATTTTGTTAAACTAAACCATCCTCTGGTTCTATGTGCTTATATTAAATAGAAGAAACTGTCTCCCTGGGTGATCATGGCAATCTGTAAAAAAATTAACTCTGACTCCTAGGAATAAAGAATGAGATTTAACTGATTAGTTTGTGTTAGCTGACTTTAAAATTAAAAAACAATAGGGCACTGGAATGAGCTAAAAAATAACTATTGAAACTATGTAATATTTTGAATAAATACTCAATAAACATATTCTCTGAACAGCAGGAAGTATTAACAGTGTGCTGTGAAAATGAAAGTTCAAGGAAAATAGAATTTTCTTCGTATACCTAAGTGAGATTGAACTATTTGCTCTATGATGACGTTTCTTTTTTTAAAAGGTGGACTATTCTTTTCAAATAACCTTCTTTGATTTCCCCTACCCTGACAACTCTCACTTCTCTTCTAATTGACATTTTCCATGTATGTCAATTAGTATGACCCAATCTAGAGAACAGCCACTAGGGGCTCACAGTCTTCATTTGTATCAAAAGATGAAACAGGAAAAAATGGAAAAAGTGAGACTGTTAGCCCACTGGAGCCAGGAGAAAATATGCATGTTTTACCTTCCATGTGGCAAGGTAGATCAAAAACTGTCCAGTTCGCAAGAGAGTTCTATTGAAATTCTTTGCTTGCTATTTTTGAGTGAATTTGAAAGGTCTTAACCTAGATTACTGAAGGGTCCCTACCAGTAAGATGGCAAACTTCCGGCTTCTCTTCGGGGGTTCTCGGTTCCCGCCGACGCCACCTGAAGCCCAATCACCTCTCGCCCCCCCTCCCAATCCCAGCACCTAACCAACAGCTACCAGCCCCGTAGAAGTAACACCACAATCACCCCATGCCCCTTTCCTATATAACCCAGCACCTTTCCCTAATAAAGCGGAATTCTCCAGTGAATTGCTGCTGTGTGTCGCTCCTTTCCTTTCATTGGTGCCGAAACCCAGGAGACGGGACACCCCAACTGAGCCCTGTCTTCCCCCCGACACCAGCAGCAGCTTGCCCTCGTCCTCTTTTTCCGGCGCTGGCTCATCACACTCACCACTCCTCTCTGGCCTTTAGGTAAGTTTTCCCCCCAGAGTGGGCCACTCTTCCCCGAGCTATCGCAGTGCCATTGACCATGATCGTCCGGCAAGGCCCTGACGCTCGGGGACGAGGAGGGAACTCTCCCCGCCTCAGGCCTTCAGGGCTGCGGCGGACTCTCAGGCCCCTCCTCCAACAGCCATAAATCCCCGCCTCAGGCCTTCACGGCTGCGGCAGACCCTCAGGCCCCCCTCCAACAGCCATAAACGAGG